GCCCCTGTGATTCTGTCTGCCGATCGGTGACCTACGCTAGCCCTAGGACTATTCTTGTGTTTTTGCCCGCCATATACCTGTTTGCCATTGTTCGACCCTGCCTGTTATACCACGTCTCTTTAATAAAAGCTTGCAGATGGATCCACACGTCTCACGTCTCGTCAGCCCCGTTACACTAGGCTACCCGCTGCCTTTATTTTAAAATAAAAGCCTGCTGATATTAAGTTTGAAAATAATGAAAATTCATCTTTTAAAAAAAGGAGTAAATATTAGCATTTTATTTTTAAGTTTAATATAAAATAGTTGTATTTGTATTTAATACTCCCTTTTTATTTTAAAACATAATAGTATTATCACACTTTATTATTTATTTTATTTTTAAAAAACTACATAAAGTGCAACAATATTATCAATACGATTAATTTTTTGAATATATATAGTTGTATTTAATGGGTTCCACTATGTGCAGTGTGAGGACCAAACCAAATCTCCAGGTTCTCTTATGAGAACCAGGCTGAGAAACTTATGTGCACCCCTAAATATAATGGATTATGCAACTGACTACAATTTGTGTCATGTAATTTGTAATCAGTAATGGATTACAACTACCCAGCACTGTCATATTCTTCTGTCCTCAGATCAAGAGCTGAGGAGGCCATTAGAAAGACACCCCTAAATATAATGGATTATGCAACTGACTACAATTTGTGTCATGTAATTTGTAATCAGTAATGGATTACAACTACCCAGCACTGTCATAGTCTTCTGTCCTCAGATCAAGAGCTGAGGAGGCCATTAGAAAGACAGCACCTGCAGTTATGGAGACACTAGATCAGGGCTGTCCAAACTCGGTCCTGGAGGGCCGGTGTCCTGCAGAGTTTAGCTCCAGCTTGCCTCAAAACACCTGACTGGAAGTTTCTATGCCTAGTAAGAGCTTGATTAGCTGGTTCAGGTGTGTTTAATTAGGGTTGGAGCTAAACTCTGCAGGACACCGGCCCTCTAGGACCGAGTTTGGACAGCCCTAGACTAGATATTGGAATATTTTCAGCACCCTCTGTAGAAATCTGACATACTGTACAGTAAAGACACAGTGGTGAAGGGGTTTCTACACAACTTGTCTACAGACTCTACGGTGGGAGAGAGGAGTCAGACGTACTTTATTGGAGCGGAGGGAGACGCGTCCTCCACAACGCGCGCAGAACTTGGTTTGGCAATAAGAACAGACGTGGCCGCAGCCGTCGGCAAACTTGGTTTTGTGGCAGATCCCACAGATGGGCGAGTCTCCCTTCTGCTCCGGGTTCTTCGGAGCCTCCTCTCCGATCTTCTTCACCTGGTCCTTGTACATCTCAAACTGCTGGTGCAGCTTCCTGTGGAGGGCAGAGAGGGGCATTTAGTGCTTTCTTCTAGTTTTAGGTGTGAAGAGCTGCTCCTGGATCTGGTCTGACTTTGAGTTTGTGCTGTGACGTATTAACATACGTGCAAAACTCGTCAGGAATACATCACTCGGCATACCCTGCATGTTACTGCAAAAAAAGATGAAGCTGTTTTCCAAAGCATTTGATGGGAGCTTTCCACAGATATGATGCAAAATAGAGTGTGATACTTGGAAAAAATGCATAAAACAATCTTGTGAAAGGAAGTAACTTTAGGAAAAGAGCTCGAGTGGTCAAACTAAATATTATGAGCTGTTTTTATGAGGGTAGCAATTTTTTTTAGGGCATGCCTGAATACTGTTACAACATTAAAAATGTTTAATAATAACAATAATTATTTTCTAGAAATAAACTTTACATGTTGAAAAAAAAAAACTGTCAAAGGTTCTAAAATGATTTATAGAAACCGAGGAAACGGATTGACTTCCTTGATGCCTAGATGTTCCATTGTTAAAAAGGATAATGATACCAAAATTGTTCAACATGGTAAAGAAGCACAGGCCAAAAAATATATATATATTAGAAAAGGTAAAAAAAAAAAAAAACGTTTCAAACTCTCATGGTGAATTGGTTGTTAATTTGTTTGATTTCATTCATACATTTTTGTACAGTTTGCTTTCACCATGGCATAGGAGTGGACTTTCACGCTTGCTTTTCTTCTAAAAATATATTTTTTAATATATATGCATCAAAATTGATACATTTACAACTAGCTACTTTTCCTGTTGTATTATATATTATAGCTGAAATCTGTTCCAACAAATGTGAGATATGTGGTTTCCTTGCTTCAAAATAAATAAATCAAATTTATGAAACCCCAAATTGTACCAGTTTTTTTTTTTTTTTTTGCTAGCTAAAATTATTTAAAAAAAAATGTGTTACATTTTTGTTAGTTGAAATAAAATCTAACTTTTTTTACATTTTGGATGACAAACTTCAACTTAAAAAGAAAAACTAAAAATTAGAAATGTTGACATGGCATGGTTTAAACTGAAATAAGTGATTCAATCTAAACTGAAATAAAAAGCTAAAGAGAAATAGAAATAATAAAAAAGCACATAGAAATACCAAAACTACTAAAAGTATCATAATTAAAATGAAAACTGAAAATAAAAGCTAATCTAAATATGAACAAATAGTATAATACAAAAATAACACTAATTTATACCACATTCAAGTGCAAATAGTATCTACACACTCAGAAAACAAGGTACGAAAGCTATCACCGGGGCGGTATCTTTTTTTTTTAAAGTACCTTATTTACCTCTAAAAGATGCAATACCAAAATTGTACATATTAGTACCTAAATGGTATTGCATTTTGAAAGAGTATAGACAGATTTTGTACCTTTTATTCTGAGAATGTATAAAACAAGAACGCGTAATTGTTTGGCACGTGAGTGTTGTGGTTATTTGGGTTTTAGAGAGCGCTGGGGATGTAAACTAGAGCCCGACCGATATGGGTTTTTTTGGGCCGATACCGATATAAGGGAGTAAAAAAAAAAGCCCGATATCGATATATCGGCTGATATTCTTTGTGCTATAGTACAGTAACAGTCAAAAGTTTGGACAATTTCCCATTCCAGGGTCCAAACATTTGACTGGTACTATATATAGAATACAGCATATACATAAACAGAATATATACATAAACACATTTTTTGCAATGATCACTCAAATGTGGTGATGAAACACTTATAATGATGTGACAAATATACGTAATGGAGGCAGGACATTTAACAATTTAACAATAAACTTTATTATCCAAAATGAGTCTGACATCAGTGCACCGAACAGTAAAGTTGAAGTTTATTTAACTTTAATTCAATTCAATTCCATTCAACTTTATTCCTTTGAAGTTGATTTCACTTCGGAACATTCATGCACGGATTTGCGCTACTGTCTTCACACACCGACGAAACTTACTAGAGAAGTGTGAAGTGTGACATAATATACCTCTGTAAATAAATACAATATTAATTGTATATATATTTTATAATATAAATCGCTTGATCGGTCGGCGCCGGACCGCAAATTTAACCACCCATAACTCCCGAACCCCAGGGGCTATCGACGCGGCGGTGGTCTCATTCGAAAGCGGGCCTCTAGTCGTACACTCGATTTGCATTCGAGAGGGTTCCTCGAGCTGAAGGGATCCCCCGAATTTTACTTTACCGAGATATGGCCGTTCAAATTTTCAATGGTTTTCCATAGACTAAGCTTTAAAGCGTTTCATCCAGGTCGCCAGTAGCAAACAATGGAGCGCACTCTGCTGGACAAACTAAGTAATTACACCATTTCAAGCATTTTATCTGCGTTATATGTTCATATCTGCTCATATCGGCCGATAATATTGGCTAAACGATATATCGGTCGGGCTCTAATGTAAACATGACTTATTAAGTTCTTTATTCAGTAGTAATTGCATTAATATAACAGGCTTGACTCTCTGGGCTAATTCCTATTCTACATTCATCAGTCAAACCTTATTGAAACGAGACCGTAACCACTGATAGGATGCATCTAATGCTATATTAAGACTCGGGATGAGAGAGTGTGCCGGTTTGACAGGATCCAAACCTAATGCAGACAGACTCCATCAATAATCTATCCCGAGAAAACACTTACACATCAGATGTTTATTGACTGTTTTTTAAGATGCATGGAGAGGCGAAGTATGTGACAGGGAATCTGCGGCTTTTACTCGACATGCTCTACACATGATGTTCAGTTTGAGCTCCAGAAAATCGATGGCGTCCACACTGAAACGATCTGACACTGTCTCTTACATGAATATCATGAATATCCGGAGTCACTGGTCATGCGTGGCTCATGGATTGAGCGTGTTGTGATGACATACAATTTAGGAGATTGACAAGACTGTCCATTCAAGCATCAAAACATTTTAAACTTTAGCACGCATACATAGGGTATCTATATGTGCACGTGGTAACTTTCACATGATATGCCCTGCAAATGCAGCCATGGGTACTTAATTGAGCCTGGAGCATTTCTTGGTAACACAAGAATGCATTAATTATGCACCTTATAATGCACTGATCTCATGAATAATTGTAACCTCAGTTATAATACTTCATAATACTGTTCTATTCATTGTTACACCTTTCAGAAAGTATAACGCTTTCAAACACAGGACAAACAACCAAGGAATCTGCAGATGTTAATTCATCAAGATATAATGCATTATACATAAAGGCTTCGAGTAAAATGTTACTCATTTCTTTTGTAGTATAATTATAGTGACAAACCATTCACTATATATGGGGTCAACCCCACTAGAGCACTGGACTAAAGGAATGGTTCACCAAAAATGAAAGTTTGCTGAAATTTTGTCATCCTCAGGCCATCCAAGATGTAGATGAGTTTGTTTCTTCATGGGGTGAAATGTAGCATTACGTCACTTGCTCACCACTGGATGCTCTGCAGTGAATGGGTGCCGTCAGAATGAGAGTCCAAACAGCTGATAAAAACATTACAAGTAATCCACACCACTCCAGTCCATCAGTTAACGTCTTGTGATGAGAAAAGCTGCGTGTTTGTAAGAAGCAAATCCAACCTTAAGACATTTTTAACTTCAAACCATTGCTTCTAGCTAAAACGCGAGTCCTATATCTAAATATTGCGTTCTTCAGTGAAAAGGTCGTCTTTTCTGAATCGGGAGAGAAATCTGCACAGATCAAGCACTGTTTACAAGCAAAAACAGGCGAACAAATATGTGGAGGAAGTATTATTATGGATTATGGACTTATATTTTGGCCAGCTATTATGGTTTAAAGTTGAAACGCCATGATTGATTTGTTTCTGACAAACACGCAGCTTTTCACTTCACAAGACATTGTCTGATGGACTGGAGTGGTGTGGATTACTTGTAATGTTTTTATCAGCTGTTTGGACTCTCATTCTGACGGCACCCATTCACTGCAGAGCATCCATTGGTGAGCAAGTGATGCAATGCTACTTTTCTCTGTTCAAATCTGATGAAGAAACTAACTCATCTACATCTTGGATGGCCTGAGGGTGAGCAGATGTTCATGTTTAGGTGAACTATTCCTTCCAGCAGTATGAACTGAAGGCCCTGCGATGTACTTACGGCCTGGGCTGCTCCTCACTGGGGGACTTTGACTGGGGCTGAAGGACATTACTAACCAGCTCAGTGATTCCACTGAAAGGATTCCACCTGTTCAGACAAGCACAGCAACATCAAGAGGCAAAAACCAAGGGGTGTGTTTCTGTCTGTTCCTCTAACACTTCCAATTTGGTGGGACGACACCAAGAAATCCCTAAACATTTTGTTGAACTGTGCTGTAATGCTTGATTGCGACTGGTAATTGCCGTATATGTCGAATCTTATCTGTTTCTTTCTGTGTTTAAAGAGATAGTTCATCCAAAAATGAAAATTGATTGTTGACACACATTCATGTCACAGCAAACCTGAACACATTTTATACTCAACCGTTTATTTCAGCTTGGATATAGCCTAATATTTCCTTTTGTGCTCCAAAACAGAAAGTCAAACAGGTTTAGAATGACATGATGATGAGCAGAGTTTCACTTTTCAATCGACTATCAATGTTTCAACTATGGTTACATAGTTTGGGATTAATATGATTTTATGTATGTATGTATGGATGCATGTATGAAACTTATTTAGCAAAGATGCATTAATCGACCTAAAGTGTCAGCAGAAAAAAATGTAATGGTTTAAAAAAAGTTAAATATATACTGCAATAAAACTACATTTATATTATTATTATTATTATTATTGTTTTTTGTTGTTGTTTTTATAATGTACTTGACAACAAATGTATTTTTGTTGTGAAGACACGAAAACTTTTAGAGGATTTTTTTTATATATAAATTACTGGTAACAAAAGGTATATTCTTAAAACAAGAAAAAACATTTAAGCATTTTTTTTTACAAATTAAAATATATTTGTTTAAGATATAGTCTCTTAAAACATATGCAATTTTAATTTAGCAAGGATACATTAATTGATCAAAAGTTTAAGCTGAAAAAATGTCATGGTTTCCACAAAAATAACTAACATTAAAAATCATTTTACAAATTAAAATGTAATATATATATATATTAAAAATGAAATAAAAAATGATCATTTATATTTAAATAAAAATATTTTTCAATGCACTGTACTGAAAAAAAACTAAATGTATTTATTGATTTATTTATTTTTAGTTTGTTTTGTTTTGTTGTACTGTACTTGAGGACAAATGTATTTTTGTTGTAAAGACATTAAACCTTTCAGAGGAATTACTGGTAATAAAAGGTATATTCTTAAAACAAGAAAAACTATTTAGACTTTTTTTTTTCAAATTAAATGATATTTTGTTAAAGATATAGTCTCTTAAAAACGAGAGAGTAATGCATTAGAATTGACTAAAAAGAGATGAGTGATTAGAGAAACAGCAGCTTTAGGACTGAGGGAGGAGAAAGCAGCTGAATCACAAGAGGACAGTAGTGCTGTATTACTGGAGCACTGTGGAGGAGCAGCTGACCAACTACATCACTGCAGCAACACAGATGTGCTACTGAACGGATAAAACGGTTAGTAGGGTGAGAAAACAGGAACAGTTTCAGTATTAAGAAAACTAGAGGTGATGCTGTACAAGTGTACCAACTACAGGACATCATAGAGCCAAACAACTGATCACGGGGCAGCTCTGAGGGATGTGTCGCAGACAGCGAAGGGTGGAAAAGGAAGGCGAACGCTGGAAGAGTTGTCTTGTACTCACTGAGCTGACTGAGGCTTTGAGTCTTCTTTAGGAGGTTCCCTAAAAAGACATGTTCAACAGCTCAGCACACACACGGGGCAAAACAACAGACTAAATCAAACACTGACGAAGCAGAAACGAATGAAATAAATAAATTAGGGCTGCCAAATTAACTTATTTATTATTATTATTATTATTATAAATAGCAATACATTTCATGCATTAAATGCTATTTTATTTTAGCTAGTGCTGGGCAACGATTAATCGCATCCAAAATAAAAGTTTTTGTTTATATAATATATGTGTGTGTACTGTGTATATTATAAATACACACACATGCATGTATATATTTAAGAAAGACATATTTATATATAAATTATATAAATACATACATGCAAATACATGTCAATATTTTCAAAATATATGCTGTATGTGTGTCTTTATATATACATAATAAAGATACACAGTACACACACATATATTATGTAAACAAAAACTTTATTTTGGATGCGATTAATCGTTGCCCTGCACTAATTTTAGCATAATTTAGTAGCGTTTAAGAATGATGAATTTGCAAAGATTCATGCAAATTTGCTCATTTATTCATCAGAGTTTATGTAAATATATCCTGGAAATGGATGGTCTTCACCATTTTAATGCATTTGACATTTTAATAATCATTTTTATTCTCCTGCTTTTATTGTTCTTCTTATTTCTTGTGCATCGGTTGCGATTATTTTATGATCATTTTAAATCATTTTTATGTACATTGTGTATGAAATGCGCTTTCGTGTTGCCTATATTTTGATTCAAAATGAACCAAATTCAGCATTTGAGAAGCAACTTCAGAAAATTATAAGATCAATAAAGCTCTATCTAATGGCAGCCCCAATACATAGGCAGATGATTATATAAATAAACATAAATATAAAATAAACAAAAATATGAAGAAAAAAAACCCCCACATGAATCTAAAAATCACATAATGAACCACGTTAACATAAAGAGAATAAATCATATATAAATGTTTTGCCTTATATGTGATTTTTGGTGTTGTATGCAATGTGCTATAATATTAATCTTTAATCTAAAGACCTTCTGTGTAACATCCCATAATCCCGTCATAATTAGCCAATTAACACAATGTTCATCTGAGAGCTATTATATCACAGCATGATTTTGAGATGCACAGATCTTCACATCCACAATGCTCAGCATACAGTTGAACACAACCACACAGTTCTCACTATTTCTGCATACTGTACTCAACATTATGCTGATTTTCTGTATGCATGCAGTCGCCATAATGTATGACACAACCAGGATGCACTGCATGAAACACACTATATCCCACAATGCAATGTGCTTAATGTGGCCTACCACATGTTTAATGAATAAACTGGGTATTTCTTTTTCATGGCTATAAAAATGTTTGTAATTTTAACACTAAAGACTGTAAAAATGCAATGTAAAAATCTGTTAATTGGTTAACCGTACGTTTGAAAAATGAATGAATCTAATCAGACATTTCATCAACTTTTACAGTAAATACTGTGAATGTACAGTGCTTGAAAGTGATATTCTTCTCATAATTTACAGTTAAAAACATAAATTGACATTCCCAGAATTCTCTGTCATTTATGGATTCATTTAAATGATTGTTTTTTAGTTTCTTGTTATCAGTTATGTACATTAGAATGTTATGTTTTTGTGTTTGTGCGTATGACATTATGTGCACCTAGAGTTTCCTTCAGCTGGTGATAAACTTTGAGTCATCGCGTGACTTTCTCATACCATTTATAGTGATTGTCAGTATATTATAAAGGTACAACCCTTTTTAGTAGGTTGGAAAATTAACTTTATATCAGTTAATGAAATATACATTATTTTCCTGTAAATTTAAGTTCAGTTTGTAAAACCTAAAATGTTGCTATACCATATTTTTTTATACAGTAAAGCAACCACAGCTGACATTTTTCCACCATACATTTCACTGATTTTTTTTTTTTTTGTATTGTTATTATTTTTTTTTCTGACTTAAAAAAGATATTTTGCACATAACTGGATTGAAGCAGTAAAAAAAAAATTTTTTTTTTAGTTTTTGAAACTATATCTGGACTCAAATGTAGAATGGTACCATTTGAAATCGTTTACATATTTAATAATAGTATTTAATATATATTTAAACGTAAACGGTGTACACGGCTATAAAATAAATGCAAGTACTGTACTGTTGTTGTATACACTAGTCTGAGTGAAAAGTAGTATACTTATACAGCAACTTTGTAAGGCAGAGCCAATGAGCATGGGTTACTATAAGTGTCAATCCTGTTACACAACGTCTTCACACAACAGACCTGACATAAACTCATTACTTGAGACTGAGATCTCATAAAAGCTCATACTCAGCATGCTCAGCAAGCGTTTACAGCATCACATGGGGGAAAAAAAGAGATTCATGCACTGTCATATGGAAATAGTTTATAGTCAAAGAGCAGTCCAGTGGAAACCCCAGTGGAAACAGTGTGTACTTTGAACACGTAAAGAGATTACTAGCTGTGGTCAGCCAATCAGCACAGCGGCGCTCCTAAATGGAGTGTGTCCTCGCTGCAGCCTGTAGCACGATGACGAAGCTGGATCAGATCCAATACGTATTGGATGTTTGACGAGCATGTGCAGTATTGGATTTTAATGCGCATGCGCAAAGTGGGGCTGTCATTGAAGCTAGTATTTAATGTAAATTAAACTGTAATTACGAGATATAGGTGTGTTTCATAAGCTTACACAAATTATATTATACTGTGATTTTAAACTAGTAGTGTATTCAAACTTTATTTAAGCACCCATGGCGTAGTTTTGAATGAAAGGGTATGTAAGCTATGTTTATTTTTTATTAGTTTGATTCGTTTTAGAAATAAAACTCTACTAATTACAATTGTGTTTGTTCTTTATGAAAAAAATGGGGTGCAACTATTGTCTTTATTTTTTCCTCTGATAGTCAAGATAGTTAGATAGTTCTGTCAAAACTTCGTTCATGAATCAAATATTATTTTTCGTTCTCACTCTCTGTGCTATACGTGACAGAGTATAAAAAAAGTTATAGGCCTACTAAAATATGCGGACATCATTTTTATACCATATAAAAATAAAAAGAAGAAAAACAACCCTGTCAGTCGGGGTTCCGTATAGCCGATAGACCGTTATCCCGGGTTATACCAGGTTTTTACAGTTAATCCCATGTCCAGCAAATAAATACACACACGGTCGGGGACAAGGCATATTAACACAAAGACGACCATTTCTTTTTTTGTGTGTTAGGCCTATATGCAAGTAAAATCCCTGGAGATAGATATACCAATTATAAATGGCTAAAGACATAAACCATCCATTCCGTTACGAGAGCGCTCTTTCTCTCTCTCTCTCTCTCTAGCTATATTAGAATAATATAAAATCTAAATAAACAAAATGGATCGGCATTAATCTAATACCCCCAATTCAATTTAAATAAACGGTTACACTTTATTTCGATAGTCCACTTTAGACATTCTACTAACTATAAGTAACTTTGTAACTACATGTCAACTACATGTCAACTAATTCTCATTAATTTGCAACTACACGTCTACTAACTCTCAGAGTAGACTGTTCGGGTAGGTTTAGGGTTAGTAGAATAAGTTGACAAAGAAAGTGTTAGAAGATATTAAGCAGACAGTCTACTAATACTCTACTAACTGCTAGATGACATGTAGCTGCAAAGTTACTTACTGTTAATGGGAAAGTCTAAAGTGGACTATCAAAATAAAGTGTTACCAAATAAACATGACGGACAGAATCAAAAAGGCATTTAGGCTAACTCTGATAGAGTGTCAGAATCAGAATGAGCTTTATTGCCAGGTATGTTTTCACATAAGAGGAATTTGTTTTCATGACAGAAGTACATCTTAATAATTAGCTATTTACAGTGCAACGTCTGCATATCAGTCATGTTACAGTGCTTGTTGTATCCTTATAATAATGGAGACAGCATTGATGTGCATCCTGGCAATAACATATGAATTGCAGGCTATTCAAAAAATAAATAATTAAATAAAGAAAGCTTTGAAGTTGCCGGTATACACGAAGACATCGCGGATGAATTTAGACATTAAAGTTTTTACACTGTAATGTAATGTAGGTCATCGTGTAGATATGTCATGTAGGTCAAAAACCCTTGCTACATGTACTGCGTTAGACTTCACTTAGACCAAGTCGTTAGACTAAGTCGCTGTGGATAAAAGCGTCTGCAAAATGATCAAATGTAAATAAAAATATGAATTTATTCGAGGCCTACTACAGCGCACGCGCGTAAAATATCCACTACGTAGTGGATATAGTCCAGCTACGTCATCGTGCTACAGGCTGCAGCGAGGACCTCTTGGCTAAATGCCCGACACTGAGTCCTAATGCAGCTCAGACGCAGAGATCAAGTGCACAAACACCACTGTAGCATCATTCATACTGTAGCACTACTCTTCTGCAGTATGCACTGTTTAAATGTGTACAGTATGTGCGCTCTGCATGCAGGGAATACCAGCATGATGCAGCCACTGTAAAAAATGACCGTGAATTTAACGGTAAAAGACTGTATAAATGCTACAGTAAAAACCTGTTAAATGGTTAACGGTAAATTCCCCTACTATGTACGGTGAAAAACTGTGTTGGACATTACATGTACTGGACATTAATTTTACGGTAGTATACCGTTTTTGGAAGAGAAAAAACTGTATAATTTACAGTGAATAACCGTAAATTGACATTCCCAGAATTCCCTGCGTTACATTTCAAATTTGATGTTTTTTTGTTGAAATAACTATGTTTCTTCTTAGTTTTTTCTTATCAGTTTTGTATATTAGGGTTGTGTGTTACACCTAATGTTGTTAAATGAATGTTTATTGCATTATTTCAGTTTCATGTGTGTTACCGTGATGGTGTTTGGTGTTTGTGTGAATGACACTGTGCACCTTCTATATATGTTATTATTTAAAAGCTGCTTGTGATGGGCTTTGGTTCATCGTGTGACT